CCAAAAATCGTTCTCTAGGAATATACTAAAATATGTGGTCATGTACAAAATTGACAGAAGGGGGGGGAAGTGTTGAGGGGGGGGTCCAAAAATCATGTACAAGAACGGACCCCGAACCCGGCCGTATTTGTGCTAAATTGCGACTACTTATATGTGACGGAGTTGAATGACATAAATTAAAATTACTTTCCATTTTTGATTTAATATTTTTTACCTCAAAGATACGAGAGTGACGAGCCCTCCGTGTTGGATACTAGCAACATATTTGGAACCCGGTAACTGGGATTTAGATCTTCGAACTGGTTTTCGGACGACAGGATTCGTCCGACCCTGTCCCACGCTAGAGATAGATCGTCCGATACTGGTCTGCAGTCCCGCAGGACGACTCGTGTCCGTCACTGAATCAATTTTAACGATTTAAATTGTGTCGTCATGAAATACAATCGACTGCACTCTTTGTATTGTTTTGTCTAAAGACAGCTGGCTCAGGTGTTTGAATACTGGTTTCTGATTGGTTGTTACCTGTTCCTATACTCGGCTCTGATTGGTTGAAAGCAGCTGGCAGCAGCTTTCTGGTTTTCGGGGGCAGCAGCGGTGGTGGGGGGGAGGTAGAGGTAGACAGACGTGTTGAGTATTCCTCAGGGACTAAATAGATTAATATATATGATAGATATATAGATAGATAGACAGATAGATATATGACTGTGTACACAGAGTGCAGGGTTACCCAAAAAGAATGATATTATACTTACAAAACAAGAATTCAGAAAAGTAAAGTTATTATTTTGGTTCCTTGCTGTAAATTTGTTTTATATTTAGCTGCAGAGCGTCCCATATCATGTTAGATTATCAAGATTCAAACTTGAACGGCAAAATACTTACATATACTCAAAAACCTTGTATTTTTATAACTAGTTCCTTAATTCTCAATTTAGATCTATATAGGATCTAATGATGTGGACAGTGAAAAATAAAAATACATTTTTACTTCTTAATGTCATTTCCATATTAGATTTATTTAAGATCTATAACATACTACATTGACGACAAGAAAATTTAGAAATTAGAAATAAGAATACAAACTTAAGACAATATTTTTTCAAAGTTTTGCAGGTAGCTTTTCTAAAGATTTAAAAAAGTAAAATCTTCTTCCTCTTAGCGTAAAACTATTAATTTTTATCTTACTTAAAATAAATTCAGTTTTTTACAGATCTTTGTAGTTAATGTAAAATGAATGACTATAAAGAAGGATATAAAACAAGGTAAAAGCTGAAAGGTAGGAAATGAAGCTTTTATTTGATGGAGTTTGTAAATGCCAGAAATGAGTGGAAAATGCAAATCAAACCCAATTAAAACCGATAATTTTAATATCATCCTTATTTACGCCCCTGACCCTGTATGTTTTATTCTTCATTATTTATTATTCATAGACATAGAGGGATAGAGGGATACATACCCAAAAAGGATGAGACTTTAAAGATGACCTGAAACTCATATATTGTGACGATTTCTAAGTTGAAAAAGCCTATTGCCTTGAATGTAGTCTCTATATTGCTTATTTAATGATTTGGCAAAGAAGAAATAGAAGATCAAAGAAGTTTAAAGTTGCAAGGAATCATGAAACAAACATCTACAGTGATAACCAGAAAACTCTGGAATAGAAAGACGACTTTATTGCAATACTTAAGTGTATTTGAAGTTGTTTCAAAGCAAATAGTTTTAGAACTTATTAGATCACTAATTAAGTGAAATAGGCCTGTTTACAATGCACCATAGCTGTGTCTCATGCTCAATGAATTATTTAAAGTTAAAACTTGACTCTAAAAGTCGTCTTCTTATTACAGAGTTTTCTAGTTATCACTGTAGTATAAATTCAGTAAAGTCGTCTCTGAAGTCTCATCCTTTGTGGGTAACCCTGTATATTAAAAAACAGAGACCAAATTAAAACTTCACATATTTTCATTAAAATAAATGTTGTTGGGTGTCGTTAAGTCTCATTCATGCGCTGCGGATCTGTCTTAAAATACATTATTCTATCTATCTATATTTCAAATTCATACAACTGGGTATCTAACTGTCTATCTATCCAATATATGTGCAAGCTAGAAATGCATCTTGCCTTGCTTCTGGCAATCATCTTAAATATGATGATTATTATTACAATGACAGGGGTAAATAGTATTTTTTCAACTAATTACCCCTCCTCCCCCACCCACGCCATAAATTCAAGCCAACCAAAATAATCGTAAAAAATTTCTTTTTCTCCAACTCTGAATAATGATTGAACTAATTACTGCCCCCCCTGTCCTCCTTTTGTCCTCTAAGTCTATAATTTACCATTACAAAAGCCGTAAGCAAGCAAGAAAACAAGGGCGCAAATTGGGGGTTATGTGCCCCCTTATACCCCCTTTTAAACTATTAATTTTTCTTCCTTAAAACAAAAATTGTGACAAACTTAAAAAACATTTTCACAATTGAGAAAATCATGTTTTGTATACTGTATACTGTATACTGTATACTGTATACTGCATACTGTATACTGTATACTGTAAACTGTATACTGTATACTGTATACTGTATATACTGTATACTGTATACTGCATACAGTATACATACGTCCCTGATGCAAACTACAAAAAAATACACAAAGGGACATTTAAAGACGCAAGAATATGCGTCAAAAAAGCCAATAAGCTACGAAAATTCCACGGTTAATGCGTTTTATCATTTTATTTTGCATATTTTGTTGAATTAAACCTTAACTCCATGATATTTTGTATCTAAATGCAATTTTTAAGTTTATTGATTTAATTTTAGCGTAAATATACAGGGTTTACCACAAAAGATGAGACTTCAGAGACGACTGTACGGAAATCGTACTGTCTGTAACCTTTTATTCATGATTCCCTGCAACTTGAACTTGTTTCTTTATTTCATTTAATGATAACGCCTTAAAATACTTAATTCAAGAGAGAAGACTTAATTAAATCTGGGATTGTCCTATTTTATGGATTCAGGTCGTCTTTACAGTCTCATCCTTTGTGGGTAACCCTGTATACAAATACAGAAAACTGTTGAATAGAAAAACGACATTAAAGCAATATTTAATTGTATTTGATGTTGGTACAACTACAAAGCAAATAGTTCTACTAATAACTTTAAAAAAAAGGGAAATGGTCTGTGTGCACTGCACAATTACAGAAAAAATGGCAGTATGCATAAAAGAGGAAAGAATTCAGGTTGAAATAATATATATTCGATTCCCTCCTTGTCGATCGTAAATTATTTTTGACAAAATACACTTTATTTTCTTTACAACCCAATATTCCTTTAATATTTATAGTTTTAAGTCCTTCTCCTATTAAATCAAGGCATGTGCCCGATTTACAATGGTACCCTTGAAACCTTAATAATCGCTTTTCCCGCTTGAAAAGTGTATAATTATGTTAATTTCTAAATTCTGTTTGTTGCAATAAATGCTCAAGTCAATTTTGTAGAGAATAATAATAAAATGAATATTTAATTCATACTATACAGAAAGCGTACCGATAAGCATTAGACATGCCACTCTATCAATGCAGGGTCACTTAAAATTACGTTTACAGTCCCTTGAAACTTTAACATATATATTCTTGAGCGGAGCCAAAGAATCGCATGAGTATTCGAGATTTATTATTTATATCTTTCAAATATCAATGTTTATAAATAATAGTTTTATTTTATACGCTGGATACGTACACTCGCATTAGAGAAATAGATTTATAGTGGTTAGAATACATAGATAGATAGATGGATAGATAGATAAATATATAGATAGAAAGATAGATAGATAGATAGATAGATAAATAGATAGATAGATAGATAAATAGATAGATAGAAGGATATATTAGAAAGATAGATAGATAGATAGAAGGATATATTAGATAGAAAGATAGAAGGATAGATAGATGGATAATGCATTATTGTTCTATGAATTCATGAAATCATATTTAATAATTTCAACTTGAAAAAATAAGGTTAAAATCCTACCTCCTCTATTAAGCACCACCCCTGCCGCAACAATTGAAGATGATTCAACTAAAAATAGAAAAATTATTAAAATTAGAAAAAAAGCTTATTTCAAAAGAACTTTCCTCTTTAAAAGATTATATCAGCTAAAACTGTAAGAGCTAAGTCAAAAAAGTAGCAACGTGTTTTATGTCAATAATGAAAAATACAATTTAATGCCTCGTTAGGTGAATATTTTTAAAAAGAATGCCAGAAAGGCAAGGCTTCCGCTGTCGACTATAACTAAAAAAGCCTCATGAATGCATGGTTCAGATTATGGGATATTTCAATTAAAAAAAGTATAAAAAACTTAATCAACGTCTTTCCTTAAAAAAAAAGATCAAGAATGGTTTAGATTGGCGATGTCAATAAAAGATCAAGAATGATTTAGATTGGCGATGTCAATAAAAGATCAAGAATGATTTAGATTGGCGATGTCAAAAAAAGATCTAGAATGGTTTAGATTGGCGATGTCAATAAAAGATCAAGAATGGTTTAGATTGACGATCTCAATAAAAGATCAAGAATGGTTTAGATTGTCTATGTCAATAAAAGATCAAGAATGGTTTAAATTGGCGATGTCAATAAAAGATCAAGAATGGTTTAGATTCGCGATGTCAATAAAAGATCAAGAATGTTTTAGCTTGGCGATGTCAATAAAAGATCAAGAATGGTTTAGATTGGCGATGTCAATAAAAGATCAAGAATGGNGCGATATCAATAAAAGATCAAGAATGGTTTAGATTGGCGATATCAATAAAAGATCAAGAATGGTTTAGATTGGCGATATCAATAAAAGATCAAGAATGGTTTAGATTGGCGATATCAATAAAAGATCAAGAATGGTTTAGATTGGCGATATCAATAAAAGATCAAGAATGGTTTAGATTGGCGATATCAATAAAAGATCAAGAATGGTTTAGATTGGCGATATCAATAAAAGATCAAGAATGGTTTAGATTGGCCATGTCAATAAAAGATCAAGAATGGTTTAGTTCATTGACGTCAATAAAAATGACCAAACATGATGGTCAAATCAAAATGAATTAAAAAATGATTTAAATGATAAACGTAAATATAAAGGATGAAGAGAATGGATTCTAATTATCGACGTCAATTACAAGAAGGTCAAAATCAAGAATGACCAAAACTATTTTCTTGCATCAAATGCAGTGACCTGAAATTGCATGATTTTGCATTCTATTCTACTTTTTAAATGCTTTAATTTTGTTAGTTAGAGCTCCTTCAATATCTGTTCTTTTGTTTTAGCAGCACTTATACATTCAACTGTACATTGTATTGTACATTGCACTGTACATTGTATTGTAAATTGTACATTGTACTGTAAATTGTACTGTACATTGTACTGTACATTGTACTGTACATTGTATCTATCTATATATTGATTTATCTATCTATCTATTTATCTATATATCTATCTATCTATCTACCTATCTATCTATCCTTCTATCTATCTATCTATTTATCTATCTTTCTATTTATCCTTCTATCTATCTAGCTATCTAGCTATCTATCTATCTATTTATCATATACATCTATATATATCTTATCATCTTTATCTATCTGTGCAATATTCTTGACCCTTACCAACTATAAGCACTTGAAAACAAGGCCAATAGGCTAGTATCAAGCGGAAGGGGGCCGGAGGCCGGAGGGGGATAAATTTGAATTGCTTTTTGTAATTTTCAATTTTTGAAAATCTTTCTATGAAACATTTCGCTTTTTTCCCTTTTCGTCATATTTTCTTTTAAGCACACTTGATCTTCAGATGAATATAAGATGAAAAATTAGAATGCAATTTCTTGTGTTTAATTTTTTCACCTAAGTATCTGATATATATTTACATTTGCAAAATGGATGCATATATCAGGATTCTGTGTTTGAATGGGGTTAAAGAATGTAATCCTTCTATTTGAATCCATAAAGGGCATGAGGTGCACAGGAATTTGAACCAAGAGGAGGGGGGGGGGGTATCCGGTATACCCCTTAAAATGTTTAAAACATGATAATAATCATTAACTCGATATCGACAAAAAAAAATATTTTTCTGATAAAGAAATATTGATTCAAATGGTGTGATCTTAGAAAGTTTCAGAAACTTAAAAAAAATACATTTAACAAAAAACTAAAATAACCACAGTGATAACCAGAAAACAATGGAAGAGGAAGACGACTTTATAGCAAAACCTAAGTGTATTTAACGCTGTTAAATCACGTATTTAGATATATTTTCACTGGAAGTTGCTGTGTCTCATGCTCAATGAACTTTCAAAGTTATAACTTGATTCTAAAAGTCGTCTTCCTATTTCAGAGTTATCTGGTTATCACCGTATATTTGCAGTACTTATTTTGTCTGGACAGATCTTGGCCATTTTTCATTGCTTTAGTTGTTAAAATACCCGAGTTAGTTTTTTAAAAGTCATGTAAAAAGTTTCGATTTTAATAATAAATACAGAGTTTTTATCAGAGTGCTCACAAAAATCTTGCGTTATCGGCCCCATCCATAGTTCAAGTGGGACTCATAAAACTGTGGAAAGACTATAATACTTAAGCTAATGGTGAAACAATTTATTATGTAAGAACATAAAAAAGAGTGATTAAATGTCGTCTTCCTATCCCACATTTGTATCTCACTGCAAGGTAATAATGCAAGGAAAATTATTTCGGAGGTGTACGCATCATTTGTACAGCAGTGCACTGCCTCTGGGCGGTAATGTAAACACAAGACGGACGTCACAGCCTGACATAAGATCCATCTTTCACAATAAAGTCAATGAAATATTCTGGTCATAGGAAACTATTATGTTAATTTTATCAAAATTATCAAAATTGAATGCTTTTATCCTCCACGGAAACTAAACAAACACATTAGGCATCTATTCTTGTTTACAAATTCCGCCCAGAGAAAACTAGTTTCCATATGTACGCAGAGTATACGCAACTGCAATTAACTTTCCTTGCATTATAACCTTGTCTCACTGTATGTAATTCATCAGAACAATGTAATATTTTCTTTGATCAAGATTCCAATTTTAGCAGATAAAAACATGGCTGCCGGTCTTAAATATCTAAAATTGCAATTAAAGGTTTTCTAATGAAGGTTAATAGGGGTAATATAAACTAGTATACGATACTATTATAGTCACAGGATACCACGATATAGGTGTTAGACAGAAACCTAGACAGACACACAGATAGACAGATAGATGGATATACAGACACATAAACAAATTAATAGAAACGATAGATGTATGTAGATAAAGAGTATAGATAGATTGAATATTTTCGGTTTTCATTAATTATATCTAACATAAGTTATAATGATATTGATATAATGAGTGCAAATGTTAATTGAACAAAAAATCTAATCATAAATGATATCTATTTATATACTTTGCTTATCTGTCTGCATGTATATCCAATAAACGTCAAAACGGGTGAACCGATCGGGCCCACATTTTTTGTGGGACTTCGCGTGACCCCAGGAAAGGGTTGTGGATGATTGAATTTTCAAAAATATGTCTCTAACAAAATTCGAGTTTTAAAAATTTTGAAAATCCATGATTTTTTATAAAATCTACGAAAGAATTTTTGGTTTTGGTTTTAGAAGAGAACATGTTCACAATTAAAATGACAGATAACGCGAAGCGCCTGAAAAGCCTGGATATATATATACTTTGCTTTTCTTTTTGTCTGTTTGTCTGTCCGCTTATATCCAATCAACGTCAAAACGGCTGAACCGATCGGGCCGAAATTTTGTGTAGTACCTCACATGCAGATGTCCCCAGGGATGGTTTATAGATGACCAAAATTTTAAAATTATGCCTCCAGCAAAATTCGATTTGCATTTGGGTTGGGGGGTTGGATTGTTGTTTACAAGGTGCACAACGTGTCCAAAATACAATTGTAAAAATCAGTAATATATATTATATCTCTTTTTAATATAATGAAGTTATTCCACTTTAAAATATATTTTACCTTTGAAAATATTTAAAGTATTTTTTATATTTTTTACGGATTTGATTTTTAGCTCTCTAGATTTACAGTTTAAATTGTAAAGTATTACCAATTAAGTATTACCAAAAAATGCTTTTCTTGTTTAAAAATTATGCAGAGAATTCTAATGAATTATGGAAAAGAATTCAAAACAATGATCAAACTCAAACAAGGTCTTGATAAGATCCAGAATCTACTTGGATCGCGAATTGAATGCGAAATAAGTTTTTGCAACAAGTTGTCCATAAAAATATATGTCTTCTAAGGGTTACTTTAAAAAAAGGATAACTTTATAAAATCAAATTGTGGACAAAAATTTTCCAAATTCAAACTAACCCCCCACCCT